GTAGCTTAACAAGATTGACAATTATCATTGATAGAGCTATGGTGTTACGTCCTGACACCATGATGCTATCATTACACCTAAAACATGTATTTAAAGGGTAATCCCAATGCACATCTCTAGGTATAGGCATTGTGACACATATGATGGGCCCTGCAACACTGCAAAGCAACACTGTAACACCAAAATTAAAACCTGAACACTACAACTCTCTATTGACTTAGTGTCGTGGTACTGTGGCTTTGGGGAAAGACTGAGTCAAACATGGTTAACTTATTTGATGACACACCCGAGATGTGGTTAACTATCAATAATGCAATTGATAGATCATTGTGGCTCTGTGGGATGGTGTTGTGATGCCAACCTAAAGTTCTGTCGGTTAACTACTACACGTGGAATTGCATGCAGTAAGCACATCTGACTTCTAAGCAAGTGGGTTGTGCTACGATGCCAATTAAAAACTTCTTGGCACTGATTTACAGGGCCATAAAACCAATCATTTTTTAATCAGAGAGGACTCAGGCTACCTCAGAATTTTAGTAGATTGATTCCAGTGTTGTTGCCTACATATTAGCAACTATAATGCGCAAAAATGGCCCCGCAATAAATTTCTAAAATTTTTTGTTCTACGTCATTCCAAATAGTTATAGATCTCAGGGATAATGAATTTAACCAATATTAGCTTTGTCTCTCAAAGAATATGAGAATTACTTAAATCTTATAGTATCACATATTACTCCATTATGTTTAATGGTCATATTAGCTTAGATATTTGGCCCAAATTTGAGAATTTTTTACCATTAAGATTGTTAAAGTTTTATGTTCAAATTTATTAGTTTAGATGTTTAGCTTGCATAATTTGATAAATTTTCACTAACAAGGGGATTGTGATAATCCTTTAATGGTTTAGATTGTTAAATGTCATTAGGTGGGCTTATCGCTTTGTGAGTTTGGTCTATATTATAAATTTTTTAAATAATTTTCAATAGATTTTATCAATTTCAGAATTATACAAAACAAAAAAAAAGTTTCCCCACTTCACATTCACTAACAAAACTTATCTAAAAATAAGAGCAAAATTCATGATAATTTAATTAATATTAAACAATTTAAAAACTATTTTTGGATCCCACACAACGGTTCTAAAAATATATTAATTTTTTCAGTATAAGACACAAGTGTATGTGTCAAACAATAACATAGAGATGAATAAATTATCATTCCATCGATGATCTCTGCTTAATTCTCGAAAAGTTAAGAACTAATTTTTATTACCAAATGATATCAAATAATTAATAGATCATTCATTTAACTCAAGGAGAAAACTTGGATTTATAATTAGCTAAATTAATTTTTTAAAATTATGTAAGTTAAAATTGTAAGATTAATTAGATTTTTAGCACAAAGAAATATATTTTCTAATTTCTTTCAATGGTTTGAAAACCAAATCATTTTTCCTGATTCAATTAATGCCTATCTGAACTTGTTAGACAATTATATTAAGAGGTTTTTTTTTCTTTTTAGATTGAAATAAATATATTTCTATCTTACTCAAACATTTGTCATATTGCCCTATTTATTCCTTTAAGACTCTTTTGATTTCCTTAGATCATACTAATTTTGAGGATTATATACAACCATTATGCAAATTCAATGAAGTTTAAAGTAAAGTAAACAATCATATAACATTTCAAACAAATAACTTAATCATAGAAAATTGTCCAAATTAAAATCATAAACCCAAACTTCACAAATTTCAGTCATACTTCCACTAATAAAATAGAAAAGAATGATACAGATGTTTCTAAATCCATAAAAAGTGTAATAACATGGAGAGAATAAACCTGATTTGATGAATTTTTCTCCTTTGTGTTCTCTTCTCCACCACCTTCATATTCTTCCTTAGTCTTCTCTAATGCCCTCTAGAATTCCTCACTCAATTCTCATAACTCCCCATTTAACTGCTCAACAATTCCTTTTTCTAAATTGAAACTACTAAAAATTGAAACTAGTTATCATTGTAGCACCATAGTGCTTCTTTTATAGTGTCCAAGCCCTCAGCTCTTTATTTACAAGCACACTTCAATGGAAATTAGGGTCGTGGCACTCTAGATAAGTGCTTAGTAGCTTAATATTCTGTCTTTTGTCGCTTCGTCTTCTAATCGCAGCGTCCCAAAACTCTATAGGTCAATGCCTAGGTGCTAAGCTCTTTATCTTCAAAAATCATTTCCCTTAATTTTTCAATGTAGCAACACTCTTGATCAATGCATAGGTGCCTACACAATCTTTTTCTTCATTTTTTAGTGCCACAACACTCTGTAATAATGTCATAGCTTCGCCTTCTCTTCTGAAATTTAACTTGAATACATCAATGGATAATGCCTCAACACTATAAGTTAATATCTTTGATCTTCTTGTCTTAAAAGTTTATGTCACAAAATATGAATTATATCGGCCTAAAGCTTTCAACTTTCATAGTTTATATGGTTTTGACATAAAAGTTGAACTAAGTTGGTAATTTATTTATTTAATTAAATTCACATATCAATAGGCAAAGATCTCTTGATAAAATCTTTTTGAAAATTCATCATCAATTTTTTCTTACTCTTATGCTTCATCATTGAAGGGTATCTCTGGTAGCCACATATCATACTTATTCTCAATGTAATCGGCTCATTTTAAGTAATGTGCCAACATTATTCTATAAGATTAGCACAAAATTAATGTGTAAAGTAAGCTTAAGGTCTCCACATGAATTCAATGCAATCATTAAAAAATTATATATCATGAGTCATTTATCACAAATGAAACCTCTTGAAAACAAAAAAAAAATCCAAGTAATAAAATAAAGTCATTATCATCACTTTTCGATATGTCAAAACAAAAAAAAAAAACAATTATTCTTTAAATTATATTCATTGAGTTGATTCTCACATTTTTGACCTGGCACCACCAATCATCATCAGTCGTTCGGGTCAATTATAGCTGTCAAAAAAGCACTTCAATCGTGAATAGGTCGTATTTACTCCTTAAATAGCATGGGTTTGATTCATTTGTTAAACAACCGAGTCGAACATTAGCAATTTTTTAAGCTCGATTTAAAAATGAGCCGAACACTAAAAGGTTTGTTTGCGTTGACTCGAAAAAATTAAATAATTAAATAATAATATTTTTGTAAATCCTTTCTATATTAATTTTTCATATATATCTTAAAAAAGGCTAAATTTTATTATTTTAAAATTTATTTGGGTGGTATAATTATAAAAAAGTATTAAGTTTAGTTGTTAGATATGTTAATACATATGCTTGGGTTGTATGTATATAAATGTTCTTAAAGCTCAACCCCTAGGCCCGCATTCCGTAGTCGCTAACTCACATTCTTTAGTCTCGCGTCGAGATGTTAGTTGTGTGAAAAACTTTTAAAAGAAAAAACTAACGAATCATTTCAGATCACATTTAGTTTTTGTTTTCTTTTTTTATTTTGGTTTTTTTATTTTTTATTTTGATTTGAACCAAAATATGTTTGGTATGTTTGATTAAGACGTGACTATTTAATTTTGAAATCATACAAAACACACAAAAATTGATTGAATGTTTCCAAAAATATGTTTCATTTGTTTTTAGAAAAAAAAAATAAGCACGTTGAAAACACATTACACAAACAAGTTTTTAAAAACAAATAGAAAAAAGAAAAGCAAGAATAAAAGATAAAATTGATCCCAAACATGTCCTAAGCATATCCAATGCAAGAGAAATTTGAATCGTGCGCAACAAATGAAGTGAAGTTGCCAAACAGTGTGGAAGCATTAGAGAGCTGATATTGTTAATAATATTCATGAAAAATAACTAATTTTCTTAATTTAATTAATCAAATATTCTTTAGTCCCACAAGGCGAGTGAGTTAAATTCGAGTCGAATTTGAGGTTAGTTCGAGCAAACAAGTTTAAATTGAGTCGAAAATGAATAGGTTATTGATAATCCATTTCAAGCATGAGCTGAACACGAAGAAAAAAATTCAAATGAGCCAAACACAAATAAATTTTGAGCTCGCTCAAGCTCAGCTTGTTTACACCCCTATGGTCAACCACTTTTCCAAGCATGGGGCCAAAACATCACAATTTGACATCATCCAACCAAACAAGCAGATAGAAAAGCATGCAAAAGTATGCTCATTCACTTTGATGCATTCTAAATATCATGGTTTAAAAAACCGGATTGGACCAACAGATTTGACCGATTCAATTTTGAGCCGGTCATTCAACCGATTGAGTCCAAGCTCAAAACCATTTCTGCATAGAATTGAAATTGAATCGTTCAGAACGAAGCTTGAACTATAGAGCCTATGAACCTGTCCAAATTTTAAAGAACCAGTTGGTTCAAATGTTATTCAATTTATGCTCTTTATTTTGATTAGAAGACTAAAGATAAGATATTTATCTTTAAAATAAAAAAAAGAGAACATATTTTTTCTTAATTTTTTTATTTATAATATTATTTAAAATATTCATAAGTACTATCTTAAATTAAAATATTATTTGTTGAATCCATAAAAATAACATTAATATATCATTATTCTATCATCTAAATTATATTAACATAATTTAAAATTTTATTACGTGATCTGGTTCAACATTCGATTGAACCATTCGATTCAAACCATTGAACCTTACTTCTTCCAATTAGATGTTCTATCAACCCATTGAACCTTACTTCTTCCAATTAGATGTTCTATCAGTTTTCACAATCTTGCTAAATATAAAAAAAGGAGGCCCTCCCATGAGTTTCAGCATGAGCTACATTTTCATCTTGTTAAGGAATTTTCAAATATATTTTAAGAAAAAAAAGTAAGAGACCTCAAGGCAGAAACTTAGAATTGAACTAAAGTTGCAAACCAGAAAGAAGGCCAACAGGAAGTTAAGCCGGGGGGAAATCCACTAAGATGATAAAATCATTAGTACAAAAGTTTCCATTAATGAAATGCCTAAATAAAAAATAAACTCACAATAAAAGAAGAAGAAGAAAACATTGTGAATGCTTTCTAAAAAACTTTGAAAAAAAAAATCATACAACATAGATTTGAACAGTTAAAAATGAGTTGAACCTCAAGGACATAAACCCGAATAGAATCAGGAGCCTCTTAATGTTGTTACAGAAACATGAAGAAAGCAGCGACGAACAACAAAGCAAGAATCACGCTGCTTCTGCTTGCAATCAAAGATGATGAATTTAAACCCTGAGAATGAGGAGACTGCTGTCTGCATATTTGAAAAAAAAATAGAAAGAATAAATAAGGATTTAGATACAATAAGTAACACAAAAAACACAAATTGCAGACAAAATAAATCATACTTCTGCAGGTCCTTGAGGAGTCCACAGTAGAGAGCATTATCTGGAACTGGCAACTCAGTTCTGTTAGTGCTCTCAGGATTTACAACACTGATGTATGTCTCCTGCCCAAGGTACCATGAATCAAGCTCTTCTGAGCGCAAGTTCCACACTCCTACATTATCCAAGGAGACCATGACTGCAGTCCAAGCTCCTGCGTAAACCTACAGCATAGAAATCAAAATATTAGCTACTTCAGAAATTTAAAAAGATGAGTTTACCATGTTCTTAATCAATTTAAGATATTTGATTATTTGCTTCTGCTTGTCAGTAAAACTTAAAGGTAGTCTTTGTTGCAAAAAATCGGAAAAATAAAATATAAATAAAAAAAATTTATGAACATATAAACTTATTGAAGAAACTAATAATACGCACACAACAAAACTAGTGAACTAGTAAATAAACGTCCATTTGACAGGTAGGTCTTTTAAAAGCTTTGTAGTTTTAGAAATCATATGTCCCAAATTCTTACGATCTTCTTGTAGTTCAAGAAGTGAGTTAAAATCAAGCCAAAACTGATCATCTAATGTTCAACATTTCTGGATACGAATATCAAAAAGGTAGTTTAAATAAGTAAAGAAATTTTAATATCAAAAAAGTAAAAAATAAAAGATAGCATGCACCATTTGCGCTATGTGCCACAATGCGCATATAACACACTCACTATTTAGTTTGGTTGTGCATTGTCATGCAAATGGCATAAGTATGCTATGCTATACTATAGGCTATAGTGCACACAATCTTGCCTTAACAAACATTTATTCTACTCACCTGTATTGTGCTACGTGCTACACCATCCCATTTATTATATGTGCCCCGACTATTATCAGTCCACTCCCCATAATCCATTCTGCCATATTGGAAGATCAATCATTATATAGTACCAATGCAAGTTATACTTCATATAAATAAAGTCCACAACCTGAAATTAGTTAATGATTTAGTATAAAGCTAAGATATTGCATTGTCCATACCCAACAACAAAGAATGCATATCCATCTAAGTGATAACTCTGAACTCTACTGTCATTATTCTGAAATACAATTTCCATAAAGCCCTTGTATGTACCATTAATTACAGAAGTAGCTATTTTTGGTGCTCCTTCATTTGACTCGGTAGGAAAATCAAGCCTGTATACTCCTTTCTTATCATATTTGTCAGCAAGCCTCAAAGGCGTCTCGGGAGATGAATATGAAATTCCATTAAATGTAGCACGACGCTTTCCATTTATAAGAACTGGCGGCTTGTTTTTCAAGACATATACTTGTGTCACATTTATGGAACCATATCTAAAAGATCCTTGGGGATTCGGACGGGCACCACTAGCACTCACATTCCATCTAGAGAATAACAAATAATGTTTATTTCCCATTTAAAGAATGGCCATATATAATAAACAATAGTGAATACTCAACAAATGGAAATTAATAGCTCCATGAACCATAATGAGGTAAAAGAAAGGGATAGGATGACTAAGGCATCTTCGTACAATGTATAAATTGAAAGAATCTCAGACAAAATTTTATAGTGTACACAAATTTAAAGTGATATCTATTCATAAAAGTTTATATAACATGATACATTAACCTAAACTTTATGTTAATTGAGATGCATTAACTAACCATATATGTAAAACCTAACTAGCATGCCCAAAAAATTTCCTAAAACAATAACATTAGGTATCCTAGGCACAAACCTGATGGATCTTGCTTGGTTCATTGAGTAAGTTTTGTCATAGACATCATTGGGGGGATCAGGAAGTGGACCAGATGCTTTGCCTTTGGAATTTGAATAGTGAAGGATGGCAACCCCTACAACTCTATCCCATTTTGAACCATTAACAAACCTAGCACTTGCCACAACATAGTAATCACTGCTTCCATTTTGATCCATAGTTATCAAGAAAGAGTAGGACTGTCCCACAAAGATATCTAAATTAGTATAATTTTGTTGCACCGTGTATGATCCCTCTGTCTCAACAAGAAGCAAGTTGTGGGATTGGACTCTAAAGTTCAAACAAGAAAACATGCCAACATTGTGAACACGGAACCGATAAGTTTTTCCTGTAAACAAGGACAATGCATCAATGAGACTTATAAGAATGCATTTTATCCTTGCTAATACAAGCAAAGAAAAACATACTCGTAGAAAAGTAGTCTAGGAGGTAAATACTGAAGAAAGCCATAAAACAAACATAAATTCCAAAATTTTCTTATCCCGAGTTAAATTTCAAAGTATCATTTTAGGAGTCGGCTATGCAAAATCTAATGTATCAATAAAATAAGGGGCAGCACATCAAAGATTTCTGAGAGTACTATTCAATTCAACTCTTTGACTATTTATTTATTATTTTTAATTTTACCCAATTGAAAATTTGGAATTTCATGGTCTTATCAACCATATATAATATCAAATATATACCTTACTTTCCTCCTTGAAGTCATGACACTAGTCATAGACACTGTCTACGACCTCACTTAATTTGATTATTTCCTGAAAAGCATTTGTGATTATTACTGCATGTTTAGTAATAACCAAGATTAACTACACAATAACTAGATTGATATCTAATGATAACAATATCTATTTCATTAGCAAATGAGGATCTGTTTTGGACAACTTTCTATTTGCTTAGCATTTAAGACCGCCGCCACAAGGGGAAAATAGACAAATTGAGCAATTGCAAAAGAAAATCCTTGTCTGAAAAAAAATTAAAAGATACATACAAACTGAAAAAGATAGAACTAAAAAACAAATGAAGGTAACACGAGAGTTGTAGATCTCTTGAAAATAAACCAAGTAAAAATAGCACCGTAATTGAACAAGACTAGCACAACAAGATTTTAACGACAACAACTAAACCCCTTAGTAAATAGCATAGCCAAAAGTGTATGCAAACATGGCCGGATAGATATCTTACCAGGCTGAACATTGATTGTCTCATAGTCAATACCAGCAGGAACCAAAGTATTGTTGTACCGGTAAGGCCCCTTGCCATTCATCAGAACACCATCCGGAACTCCGAGAGCTTTCCCCTGATCCAGCTCCTTCCTCAAATCCTACACAACACAGTCGTCAACCTCATTAATCCGCAAAAATAGCAGTCATTTATCATTCTGCCATTAGCACTCACCGTGTGGTTCATATTAAACCAGTCTCCAATAAAAAGAGTGATGTCTCCATGCGGCGTATCAAATGGCACAGAAATGATTGCCCTATTATTAATAGTAAACTCTCCAAATCCTCCAGCAGCACGCTGGAGGCCGATCGAAGGGAAATAGAAGAAGCTCCCGATCTGATCCTTAACCTGGAACTGATAAGTCCAGTTCCATCCCACAGGGATCGGACAGTTCGTTCCCAGAACTCCATCCTGCCAGCTGTTCTTCCTCTGCTGCACTCCGTCCCTACAAACCCAAGCCGATCAAAACCCCACGAACAAAAGCCCTAGTTCTAAACAGAAAAATCCAGAACCAAATCTCAAACATTGCAAGTTCCTCGATTGTTCGATTCGTAAATTTCGTTACCAAGTGATGAGAAGTGGCTCGTCTAGGCTATTGAGCACGTTCACCGCCACGTTCCAGTTGGTGGTCACATTGACCACCGGACCCGGAAATTTTCCGTTGATCGATATCACCTGCAACGGAAGACGATGCGGAGGACTTGAAAACAAGAGCAGCAGAGGAGATAGAAGATCGGATTGATGAGTAATGGTATTCATCATCTGTTCCAATTAACACCAAAAACGAAACCAAAAAAGAGAAATCGCACATCGAAGTGAGATGTTTAGTTCATAGCGGCGTGCACCTGCTGTTCTACCCCAAGAGGGGAAGCTTTCATGTACGCAACATTCCAGTCGAAGTACGCATATGGATCCTCAGCCGAGCAAATCCCCGCCATTGCAGCAGCACATATCATCATCATCATCATCATCACGTCTATCTCTGACAACGGCGACCTCAAGCAGGCCATTTCGCCGCCAAGGAACTGCAGAAGTCCAGTTATGCAGCTGCTGGATCGCTCTCTCTCTCTCTCTCTCTCTCTCTCTCTCTGTCTCTGTGTTACATTATTATGGTGCTACCTGCTCCGAAGGCTGTCTGGCAATCTCAACCAATTCAAAAGCGCTATTCGTCATTCGTTTCATAGGAAGATATAGCCGTTACCTAAATAAAAAAATATATATAAATATTGCCCTTAACACCCAAAGAATAAAACATAAAATAAAAGAATGAAAATTATTTCATACGGACACCGTATGTTTGATCTCCAACGTCGATCGCCAAAAAGATGTATTTCGGTGGGCTCTTTAAAATAAAATTTTTTATTGTGTTGATCGAAGGTGGAGATCGGACACCGCATGCATCTCTACATACGGTATCCGTATGGAAAAATTTCTCATAAAAGAGAGGGTGAGAGAGAGATAAAAAAACACATGTATAGTGCACAATAATAAAAATAAAGGATTTTCGATTAATTCTTATTGAAGAAATGGTTCCCCTTATTATTAAAGAGGAGATATAAAATATATAATTACTTGTTGCCCTCGCTTTAATGAGATTTGTATAGGATATTTTGGGTATTTATAAAAATTAGCCTATGGTTCGACTATGTTAGCGCTCAGTCAGTTAAAATTAGTGGGTCTTTGTTCGATAAGGTTCATTTGTTTGATTTTACTAAGCTGGGGTTGTTGGTCAATTCCTATTGATCTTCGATCTTCTAGGTATGGCCTGATCGACTTGAGTCAGCCATTTGGATACTTTGGTCAGGTTGCTGAATAGTGACCCCTAGAAGAGGAGCTTGTGTCGTCAGGATAAAACTAGAGTTTTGGATAGAAGATGAATCACCATAATCCGATAGATAACACACCTCTTGTCAAAGATATTTTGGGGTGTTCATGGAGTATATTATGATAAAACTCTCGGCCTCCCAATGAAGAATCTTGGAGGCTTTCATGAGGCGCTTGACAATGTTGGGGTGAGAGTTGGGCTGATGTCTTATGTCGGCTTGTTGGATCTTGGTATTTAACTTTGATGACGTGTTCGGTCAACTTTTGTTCCAGATCTAAGGGATCTATTCTCGATCAATTTATTCGTTTGATTTTCTATGCTAAGATTGTTGATCTTAGTCTGTTAACTTTTTTCTAGATCCTTGCTGATTGATACATGTTGTAACCTAGAAGGAAACACAAAGCTGCGTTTTGTTCACTTCAAAATTATTGTTAAAAAGGGAGACCTAATCAAATAGATAATACTTAAAATGCTGCATTGTACTCCCGGAAGGGAAAATTATTGCATGCAGAGATGCATGTGGTGTCAGATCTACACCGTATATTACGATGATATACGGTGATGATGCAATCAAAATTTAAAAATAAAAATAAAAATAAAAAAATTTAAAGTAGGGCCCACCGAAATATATCCTCACCGTAGATCACTATGATCTACGGTGTAAGTCGGACACCGCATACAGAGAAATATGTGGTGTCCGTATGCAATAATTTTTCTCGTAGAAGAACACCTATTCTATTTATTGGTTCGTGAATGTGCGAGCACAAGGAGCCAGTACAGACCCGAAAAGCACATGGAAAGAACAAGCAGCCGCCGCGTTCGCGCTCCTAGGAAAACAAGGCAGCTTTCAGTTCGTTGTTTCGGTGTATGCTGTTTATTTAGAAGCAGCTGCTTGTAATTATTCCGAAATATCCGGAGCGTTCGGCGTGCAATGTGGCGTGGGGTCCACTTACGAGTTTAAAATGAAATTCTTCCCCCCATTGGTTGCATGCGGACTCTTAACTAGATCGGCCGTTCAATTGCAACGGTAGGGGTGATGGACGGTTCTGAGTCATTGTAAGTAGATGTTCGAAGCAATAAGATAATGGACCCATGCGCGGATTGCGGCGGCCGTCAAGGCGTGAAAGCATGGATAGAGCGTAGCAGATGAAAGTGAATGATCACCTTTTTTTTTTTTTTTTAAGCATTTAATTTTTTTAATAGAATATTCATATTTTGTACATCTAAAAAGTGTGAACATGATTCACAGAGACATCACACGGGTGACGTGGCCCAGTGGGGCCTATTAGGGTATACCTTGTTCACATGCTCAACTTGATAGTTTCTAGGGCTGTCAATTTGGCTCGTTGTTCGCGAACAGCTCGTGTTCGGGTCCCTTGACTCGTTCGACTTAATGAACGAGCCGTACACAAACAAATTTTTAAGCTTGAAATGTAAATGAGCCGAACACAAACAATAGTTTGTTGGCTCGTGGTCAGTAGTTTGTTGGCTCGTGTTCAGCTCGAATTGGCTCGAAAATAAATATATATAAATATACATAATACATATTCATAAAATTAAATATTGTAAATTATAATTAATTATTTTAAAAAAAATAAATCATCATATTTTAAAAATTTTATCCTATACATTATAATATATTAAAAAAATATTAAGAATATTATATTACTATTACTTATATAACTATTATATATTTATAAAATATAAATTTCATATTTAATATAATATATAAAAAACTATACAAAAAAAAACCCTAACAGCGCTCCCAAGCCTCCCATAATCCCATTCTCATCTCTCGTCTGGTCGTCTCCTGTCAAATTCGCAATCGTGAGCTACCGTCTGCCTTTCCCTCATTCTCCTCTGAAAATCACGAAAGGCTTTCTGGTGCGAGAGCTTAGGGTTCGCCGTTCATGTTCGTCTGCTAATCTCTAGTTCTAGTTCTCCTCAGATCGTAAGTGTTAGCTCGCCTGCTCGGTTTTCTTGCTTGGTTGCTTGTTTACTTAAGAAGGTTGTTTACTTACAGAGGTGTTAGATTTGAGTATCTTTTCTCTGTTGTTTCATATTTCTCTTTGGATTCACCTTAGCTTAAATTTTCTTCAATTTCTTTTAGATTTACTTAGATTTTTGGAGTGAAACCTAGTTTTTTAGGGTTTTGGCAGTGAAATCTCGCATATTGCATTTAGATCTGGTTTTTTATGGATGACATCTGATATAAGGGTTGTTGAAATTAAAAAAAAAACTGATCTCTACTTCTCCTTCTCATTTGATATAAGGGTTGTTGAAAATTAAAAAAAAAAAAACTGATCTCTACTTCTCCTTCTCGGCAGTGTTGGCTCCATTGATTGGGATTTTTTTATTCTTATTTGGTTGCTCGATATTCTTGGACGGCTGCTTGTTTGTATACTTAGGTATGCCTCTTATCCTAATGCAAAATTGAACAAAAGAATCAGTATATTATTTCATAGCTTCTTTGTATCCTTTTCTGATCGGTACAAAATAATGATGTACTCAATGAAACTTATATACTAGCAATGTTAGTTTAGTTCTTTTTCAATGAATAGTTGATAGCACCTTCTATATAGCACAATAATTATTTCGTAGCTTCTTTGTATCCTTTTCTGAATTTGTTATACCTTTTCCACTTTCTTTTTTGGCATATATGCTTTAAACAATCAAATCGGCTTGTAAGATGCATGCTTGCTATCTTTATCTTTGTCTATTTGAAAACATTTATCTTCTTTTTATGATTCTATGGTTGTGAAGCAATAATTATAAATTTATGATCTTGTTTCAATGTACCCTTATCACAAGAACATCTATGGTATTTTGCTTAATTTTTCATGTCAAACTCCATTAATAATTATGTATATAGACTATTGATCTTTTAAATATCAACCTTATAAATAACATGTTATCCACAAAATAAAATTAATTAATATGATGTATTCTTGTTCATTTTGCATAATAGCTTTAATCAATGTTGCAACTACAAAATTTGATTATGTGTGTAAACCCATCAAGCTTGAATGACAATGAAGCCATAAAAATTTTTATTTATTATGATTTTTGAATGCCAAATAAGCCTTGGTGTTGTACTAGTTGTATGTTTTACTGTAAGTCACAATGGAACAATTTGACATCTATTTGTTCAATTTAAGAATATTTTATAATTATGTTGCTTAATAATAATTTAATTATAGGAGGGAACATGTGTAAAATCTATAACTTGCTCTAGAGTGAAACTTTAGTTTTTTAGTAGTGCTAAACTTGTCTTAGTATAATGTATGTTTAATGCAGATAATATTTCTTCACTTTTTAACTCTTTAATCTTCACTATCCAAAATTTATTGCCAACACGTCTTTGACATATTAAATAAATTATATCTTCCTTTTGAGTACAGTTAATGCCTCAGCTGATTGTCCGCTCAATAAGAGTTTTATTCTTCTTATTAAATACTCTATCTTTTGTGAAATTCTTGGAATTTTTTTCTCCATACAAATCTCACGAGTTCCATATTAATAATTTCAATGCAAAGGAATCATATTGCACTAATCTCTACTTTTCCTTCTCCTTGGATAGACATTGTTGGTTGGATTGATCGGTACTCTTGCTTGGTTGCTCGATATTCTTTCACGGTTGCTTGTTTGGTTTCTTATTTATTAGGTTAGTCCCTAATTGATCCCCTGTTTGGATTTTTATTGGTTTCTTATTTATAATAAACTACTAATCTCTTTTAAGTTTTTCTTTAAAAAATAATATATGTTCCCTCCATTTTGTTACATCCATGTTTTTGTTATTGTTTTGAGAGTTTAAATCTATTTAGCCAAAATTACTATAATTTGAGTTTCTTTAATATGAATCACATGTGCTAAGAGGATGTGATTATCATGAAAGACTGAATAAGAATAAACAATAGAGTTCAAGAGTGGGACAATATTTAATCCAATAGTTTTAAATTTTAGAACTTTTGGATGAGATGTTTTCCACTTTTGAAATTAATAATTTTAATTTCTGAATTTAAGGGTTAAATTAATATTCAAAGGCACTTGAGTTTCAATTACAAGACCATATCCCTTCGTCCTCACCTTAACAATATAAAAAATGAGGAATCCATTAAAATTTCATTGAGTCCCTGATAGTTGAACATTTAATACATCCCAACACATATTTCTCTTTATTTATATGGTTGAAATCTTGTTTATATGATGATTCTGCATGTTCAATTATATTCCGCACTTTCCTATCATGTTGTCCCAAATTTCTAATGTTATTTTGCAGCTCTTCCATGTTGCAATTATATTTCACCGAATTACAAATC